ACCTTTGCTAAATAAACAAAATATAATAAAAATGTACAAGTTTCTATTGACACCCGGCGGAAATGCACGGAACCCTAGTGCAATCCCAGTGTCAAAAAGAATAATTACTGACCTTTCGAAAGCTGTGAAACTGTCAAATTCAAGCATTCTCGAAGATAATGAACGAGTAAAAATTCGATTCAGCTATCAGTGTACTACACTTCACGAAAGCTTTAGCTGGGGAAACATAAAAATCGAAGCAACAGACGTTATTTCCCCAGTTTAAGAAAAAGCAAAAGCGAGCACGCTTCTGATATCAAGCAGCAATGTTCTGTCAAGCGGTACCCGAGCAGAGTCGGCTGCAAGAAGCCATAAAATAACGAGAAAAACGCAGGCATGCATGCCGACTCGGTTTATTTAATCTCATTGAATGTGCGTGCACTGTGCTCTTCCCGTGCAACAAGCTAAGTTCTCGTTACATGCCCAAGGCAAACCCGAGGGGGAACCGTTCATTAACTAGATTAACCCATCGCTGCTTGTTGTATGACCTACAGTCCGTGACGCAGGAATAGATGTCGTACACTTCTATGCACGCACGCAATCTCCTTCATTGCGAAAAAGTCAACGGAATGTGAATTCTTATATGAAAGTGCAACCATAAACCAGAGTAGCATTAGAGTAGCTTTCACTAGAGTGACATTGACGCTAACTAGAGTAAAGCTGCCCAATCGAGCACGTACATTTCTACAGTTGCATTTCCCGATGAATCAAGAGTGGTACCAGATATCAAAGCATGCATTAGCATGATTAAAACGCTAAGAAAGTGGCTTTTGTAGCCACTTCTCACGACCTAGCGTGTCTCTTATAGAATGACAGCGTACGTCTGCCGGACATGCGCAGGCGTAATGTGATAATGTCGGTCGCTAACTTGGCTTCAGCCGTGAATCAGAAAATTAAGACTACAAAAGTATCTACAATATTTCGGGTGTTTCGCTGTCAAGGATTGCGATTAGAATTTTGTAGGTCTATAGCCCATCCTATATATAGCTCTCCAGTATATATGCTTGAGCAGCCGTTTTATATGAGTCCATTTGTCAGCCTGTAGGAACAAAAGTTGCGGGCGCAAGAAAGGTTCACTTGGTCCAGGACTATAGTAAATCAACTCGCCATTCATTTTATATACCGACAATGCGGGCTGTTACTATAGAAACGAGGTTCATGGGGTTACATACGCAAAACCCGTATATGGAAACACTGTCCGCCTGGGTGGATCAGTGGCTAAGCCTGCTCGGCTGATGGCCCGAAGGTCGCGGGTGCGATTCCGGCCGGGGCAGCCGCATTTCAATGGAGGCGGAACGGTGAGACCAGTGCCCTGTGTCATGTCAGCGTACGTTAAATAACACCGGGTGGTCAAAATTACGGGCGCCCTGCACTAAGGCGTCCCTCACAATCATATCGTGATTTTAGGACGTGCAATCCCAGATATTAATATCATGTGGTATCATGTGGAAGCATTACGGTTCGCGTTGTACGTCGGGTCAGCATTCGATAAAAGCCTTGCCAGCAGAAAAGTCGGCCTGTATACCCAAAGAGGTGTCTAATGCTTTTCAATGTACCTTCATCAAGATTCAAATAGGCGGTTCGTCCCGTTGTGCTAATGATTTATTAGGACATACATAACGGGGATTCACCTACCTTACTTTCTGATGTGGTAAGTTACACGATACTGCGTTATAAAACAATACGACCTACCACTGGCTGTGGATGCGATTTCCAGTGATCTTTCAATACCCGTTGGCTCGGGAGAACATATAGGCACGCAGGCTTTCAACGTATAATCGGTGCGCAATGAAAGGACGTCACTGATTTTCGCATATATTCCTACGGCATTGTGTACTCCGGCAGCAAGCAAAACTTACAAACTTTGCCCAAAGCACACAATACACCACATGCGAGTAAGCAAAATGTTACTCCACTCGCCACTGCTGACGTTAAAAGACAATCAAATCAGTCTTGTATGACATTTCTGCCACCTCCTGGCGACAGCAAAGTTCAGACACGAATGCGGTTAACATTTCCTTAAGCTCTGAAGTGCCGACTGTGCTGCAAATGTATTACGCTGCACCGGAGTGGCTATTGTCGTTAAATCAACGGCAGATGAACCAATGTCCTTTACGATTTCAAACGTGTACGCAGTTTGGAGCTGCTCAATGCAAACGGACTGATATGGGGGATCGCTCTGAAGATGCGTAAATCTGAGCACCTGAAATGTTACTTCGCAATTGGGTGACGCGAGACGCTACGAAGATGAACATTGCAGCTATACAGTAATATACGCTCAAGTGGTCTTCTATGTGTATCACTGATGCCACTCTCTGTTCACAACTATTCAGCTTTCTTTTTTTTAACTCACAGTACGAGGAAATAATGATTTCACCTGACGAAATTTTATCGTTCGTATTTCGAAAAAAAAACCGTCCTTTCTAGCATATAGAATGCCATGCCGGTTTCCTTCTGCAACGAAAAGCTTGTTTGGTACACATTATTCAAAATGCCCGTAGAACGCTGCGAATTTAATCGTCCAACGAACCACGTTGATTGAATGATCAGGCAAGGCCGACTTCTCCACATGGATTCGGGTTGCCCTTTGTGAAGTGTCTTCGGTTTCGGGGTACAGTAGGTACTTGTCGACATTATAGCAATTTCTCAGTTCAGTTATGCACGTGTAGTTGCGATAACAAAGACATTCCTTGATCATTCTAGACTTCTTTATTTATTCTACCCTTACTTTTCTTGACAGTTGACTTACTCTTCCTTGAGGTGGGGCCAATCAAAAATCCCCCGGTATGCAATTTCGCCCCTTGATTTATTCTTTGTTATTAAACAGCAAAGAAGAGATCGAGGGTCGAAATTTTAGCAATACGCAAAACGTGATAGCCTTCGGGTGCAGTCAATGAGCCTTCTGCACCAAGCACGTCAATATGGCATAGTGCGTCTTTATCTCCTGTAAGTAATTGATAGTGGTGTGCTATTCTTCAAAAATTTCAAATAATAGGTCAAATAATGTGTCTCTTATTAGGTAATCAAATCAAATTGCGCAGATTCGAAATGGCGACCATATTTTTTCGCATAATATTACCTGATTGTAAAACACGAAAAGAACAAAACATTAGAAAAGTGAGAGATTACTGTTCTTGTTTTATTATTCAATTGCTAGGATGCACACCGTCCAAGTTCTTCTGTTCTTGTTTTATTATTCAATTGCTAGGATGCACACCGTCCAAGCTCTTACGGGACTGTCGATGCTACATTGATTACCAGATGAGGGCTTTCTGCTTATGACGCCGTTAGGCTTAAGTGTTATCAATCAGCTATCATCATCATAAGGTCGGTGGTTTTGTTGGCCAGGCTGTTCACGATACATGGCAACCCTCTCTCAGATAATTTCACTATTACGTTTACATGAATAACAAAAGCGAGCGTTGTGCTATATAAATTGAACTTGCACATAGGGTATTCAACACTGACTTTTTACCATCGTTCGGTGCTAAAGCCCGTGTTGCAACAACGTATTTATTTTCGATTGCATATTTTATGTATGCGTTGTGTTTGGATCAACACTGCCTAATTCGTCTGGCTCAATTTTACTGAAAAACAGGTTGCAAAGAACTTCCATGAATGTTGAAGCAACTGCTGTACTTCAATCCAATGTTACCAAATAGCTCGAAATCGCTGACGTGTCGGCATCACTCATGATCGTCATATTTTTATCGGTTAAAAGTGATCGTAATGTTTCTTTGTTAAAGTGTATGAGTATCTGTTTGAAGTAAATGCTGCGGAAATCTAGGGCCGTTTTAAAAAGACTGGTTGCCTTACCATCCGGAAACTATTTGAATAGTATGAGATTCGCATTCGCCACCATTCTATTCGTGTTCGATTTCGTAGGGAAATTCACTATTCCCAATGCCTTCGTAATTAGAAAGAGCTGCTTCCTTCGTTCATGAACGAAGAAGTCACGCCAGGACACAAGGCTGATAAATTAACCGTCTAAGATGCCCGGTGCAGCGCCATAGTGAAGTGCTCGCTAGGTATTACTCTCGCTTATCGACGTCCCCGTAACGCAATGAAGACGACTGATCGACAATCGAAATATCAAATCAAGCTGCCAACGAACCCTCTACTTTCACAGCTCTCTCCAGACATCAGGGGGCCAATTCGCCTAGTCTTCCATTCGTTAAGTTTTTATTGTCGTAGGTCCGGTTTCACTAATCATATGTCCTGCATCGTGATCGGCCAAACGTATCACTCACGAACAATTCTAGCTAAAGACGTTTTTTTTTTTTTTTTGAGAAAAACGGATCCGGAATCGAGGGGCGAAATTCGCGAATCGACCAGTTCGTTTCGGTGATGATATGTCCAGACTTACTTTTAATATTGCTATGTCAAATTTACTCTTGCGAGGAATTGTGGCGTAAAACATTTTCTTTTTTCAATGAATACCGTACTGGACAACGTTCCAACACGACACTCAGTGCAACAGACATTCACTTGGTAGCTGTCATGAACAGCCAACAAACTGCAATTACACATAGAAGTGTGGCAGCTTGGGCTAGTTGGTATGACATGACGATAGTTATAGCGCGAGAACAGAACGACAACAAAGAGTGCCTTTCTTGCCTCGTTGTTGTCGTCGTTATGTTCTCACGCTATAACTATCGTCACTCAATTACACGTTGTCCCTGTTGCCATGCGCCGCTACCACCGAGAATGAATGAACATATCTCAACCACGACCAGGAGGCGCGCCGCGCGGCCACAGCGTGGAAGATGCGAGTGGTGGAGAAAGAAAGGGAATCGACAGTTTGACACACTCCAAGACACGCCGCGCCGGTACGTACAGGAGGTGCTCCCGGCACGCGCGCCCAACACGGGAACAGCGAGCGAGAGAGAACAAAAAATGCGAGAAAGAGAGAAAGTACGCTTCACAAAGCAAGGTCTTTGCGCCTGAACCAGCTCTCTTACCTGAAAAAGCCGAAGCCGCGTGGTCGATGGAATGGTTCGGGCCGTCGTTCTCTTGGACGTGCTCCAAAATGACAACCCTAGTCACAACCCGGCCTCTTCAGTGTCGGCGGAGAGAGAGAGACGCGCGCGCACACACACACAACGGCGGCGTCCCGAATCACCACGTGCTCGCGCCTCTCTACTTGTGGACTAGCATCCTTCCTCCTCTTGTAAGCAGGGTCGTTCGCTCCTAGTTCAGTCCCAACCCACCGGCACGGCTAACTAACCGTCGCACACAAGTCGACGAGCAGCTCTCTGAGCTGGTTACCGCATTCGCTCCCATGCGAGGTTGCTAGCGAGCCCCGCTTCCTACCTTCCTTCCTCGAGCCAACAACCTTTCTACGGCCTTTCACACGAGCCGGAGACACAGTCGTGCAGCTGGCTCCGTTCTCCGATATGTATGCGATCGCAAAGGGTCGCCGAGAAGCGAAGCGACAGCTCAACAGTAAACGAGGCGTTTTCAGTTTTAGCCGCCTGGGATGAGCAGGCGAAAAGCAGGTTCAGACTCCGGCGGCTAGTTAGTTCTCCGGGTTTTCGCGTGCTCCTTGCAAATACTGCTGGGGCTCGAACTCCCTTCCCCCGACACACCTTCGAGAAACCTGCACGCGCGCCTTCCTTGTAAGCGCACACCGCACCACACTTCTCCGTATACTACACACAACCGGCGCACACCGATGGCTGGCTGGCGGGTCGACGACGCAGAAGCTGCGACCCCACTGCCTCCTAGAGTTCCGCGGCTGTATGCCACGCTACCGCCTTCCGGAAAATCGACGGCGGCGACGCTTCTCGGTGAACGAGTGCCTGCTAGCACGATGCGATGCAGCGGCGGCGCCGGCTTCTCGTTCGCGGCGACTGCCCGCCATATTTATTTGGGTTTTCCTCTTCCTCAGCCACACTCCCTCTCCTTCTCTGTCCTCCCTCACAACCTCTCTTCCACTCACTTGCTGCTCTATGAGCTATGCGGAGGAGGGAGAGAGTGCGGCTCCCTTCTGGCGATCCGTCCGTTCGGCACGGCTCTTCTTTCTTTTCTGGATTCCCGGATGGAAAGAACGCACTATAATTGGGAGCAGGAGAAGAGGAGTACGCCTTTAAACTCCTGTCTCTCGCTCTCTCACCGCTTACGCCTTCCTTCGCCTCTTCTCTTTCATTGAAGTCTCGTTTCTTACATTCCCTCTCTCCATAATCGGAGCATTGGAATGGACTTACACTAACAGGCGGTGGGATGGCAGGATTTGACGCTCAAGCATCAGGAGTGAGCGACGAAACGCGTACGTAACGAGAGACCGAAAGGCCGAAACGAGCAGAAAGAAACGAGGTGGAAAGGGGAAAACGTCGTTGGATAGAAATGAAAGCGAATTTTCTTTTTCTCTCTCCTGCGTTGATATCGACCGGCCGATAACTCAGGAAGACGCCGTTCCTCTCGACGAGGGCGCTGCCGCAGAGTTTCGGGCATGGCTTCGGAAACGCGGAGAGGGATCCCGACGCCGGCCTCGACCACGTGGACCTTTCTTATTTTCTCAACATGGCGTGGAATAGTTAGTCGGGACCTGCAAAAAAAAAAAATGACGCCGCCTTTGCTATTGCCAAAGTTGCGCTAGGCAAATGTGTCCCCTCGTGGGTGCCCTCCTATTGCGTAATAAGCGTTACTACGTCAGGTTCACTTTCTCGTTCAGAGATTTTTTTTCTTGATCGGTCCCAGGCTATAAGTAATAAAGCGCAAGCACTAAGGTGTTGTCCTCTTTGCTTTCCTTGCCTCGCCTTTCGTTTCTCGTTTCTTCTAGCACCTTAGTGCTCGCGCTGCAACCCTTATTACTATGGAATTTAACGAACTAGCCCAAATAGCCGTTCCTCTCCAGGCTATAGGCTTTCTCTTCTATTGCACTTTATCGCAAGTGCATGCTTTCCAATAGTCACGTCAAAATTCTAATATCATTTTTTTATATTTTGCTAGAACAAACGATTATGGATGGATGCGTCGTGTAGTTTCCCGTGTGGCATCACACACACCAAGGCACTCACAAACAGATGTGCATGTTCAGTCAGCGCTCAGCATGTGTACACAGCACAAAAATAAATATGTGTAAATAAGGATATCAATATGTTCCCTACTGCGGGATTTAAGCCCGGGCCTCTTCAGTACCGATACCCGATGCTCTAATGCCACAGGCACGTGCATCATCAGGCGGAATAACAGATTTAAGAATTTCCGTCTTTCACGCCATCGTATTCGTACACTTTGCGCGTTTTAGCGCTGACAAAGTACTGTCAAGTCACTGCTGAGTTGTTCACAAGCACCATGATGATTGGCACCAGTCAACTTCGGCCGCAATTTTTCACCTTCTAATTTTCCTCATTACTACCAAAGTCGGTTATTTAGACAAAAAGATTGTCGTTTCTTAATACTAGCAGCGAAATACCGTAGGTGCAAGGCTTTTCAGCGTCTCCCGTCGTAATTATGTGTCATGAAACCACAGTTCATCATAATAATAAATGTGCACCACAATGGGTGAATCCCCCTACTCGCTACCGCTCCTCTAAAAATGAAAAAAAAAAAGCAGATTCCACGTACCTGGAAACTGGCGTTATTTGAAGCATGTGTAGGGAAGGCGACTGTGTATCAATTTTTTTATTGAGCGGCACGTCATGAAATGATGCTAAATATATGTATAAACGTTGCACGCACACACATATGTTGAAGAGTTCCAGATGTTTATATAACCAGTTGTTTGCACTTGCGCAACAATGCCAACCGGAACATGCGTATTAGCAACACCAGAAGCTGATACAAGGCGCTGATGCTCGTGAGGATGCTGGTCCTAGATGCTGCTACATAAGTCAACTTCAGCGCATGTCAACTAACCACAATTTACGTTAACTCGACAAGACGGCTGTATCAAAGGAGTAAGTAATGTTTATAAAATTGGGTAGGCAGCACTGCAACCACTATTGGCGTTTCACGAAGATTAGCGTCTATTTGAAAAGTAGTTCAAGGCGTAGCTCTGTGGTAAAATGCTTCCTTGCCACGCAGAGTGCTTGGGTGCGATTCCAGCTGGGATCCTGACCTTTATTCTTTGCATTCGTTGGGTCGACGCTACCGAAGTCGGGTATTTCTTAACGCTCGCGCGCTAAAATTTCCCGTATGTGTTCTCATCGTTTTTTGGTAGCTACTCACTGTCAATCACCTGTGGCACATACCCGCATCCTAGCGTCAATACCCGCCCGCAGGTATGTGCCACTGTCTGGCGGAAAGTGTTTGACGACGTACGCGACGGGATTGCGACATTATTCCTGTCTTGACCAGCATGTCATATTTGTCAAACTTTCTTAGCCTCTTATGCTAATTTCGGTTCACGACTTGTTAAGGGGGTGACCATGAGGGCACCCACACGTAAGCGGCTAGCCTAGATAGATAGATAGATAGATAGATAGATAGATAGATAGATAGATAGATAGATAGATAGATAGATAGATAGATAGATAGATAGATAGATAGATAGATAGATAGATAGATAGACAGATAGATACGCTCTAAGTCGCCGAAGTTCGCTAAGAAATGCTTCGCATTTAAAAGGCAAGAGTTTGCCCAGCAAATAGCCGATGGCGTTAGTGGATCTGGAACACCCCTCCCTATAAATGCCTTAGGGAACTGAAACCGGGTATACAGGGAAGAGGAAGAAGCACCTTTTTTTTTAGTAAGCTGCATTGCTAGGGAGTTTTCCGACGTCATTAGTGGAGCGTAAACACACTTCCCTACATGCCCGTAATTATGCTTGGCACCGTTTCCCCCACTAGTGCTTCACCAAAGAAATCTCTGTCGAAAAGTCCCATGCTTCGCCTCTTCCCAGGTTTCACTTTAATGAAGCTCAAACGCCCATTCTCACATGCCCCGACCCTCCCCAGTTTTTTTTTTTTCATTACGATAGCAATTATATGAACACTCTCAGCTGGATTTTGCCGCCGGCGTCGCTCTTATTCACGGTATATGTATACCTATCTATATAAATTAAATCTCATGGAAGAAACATTTTCCAGAAAAACACTCCGGTGCGCGGAATTGAGCATCCGACACCTTCCTTGTGAGTGTGAGGCGTTAGCCACTAAGCCACGAAGAAGCACCTTCTTCAATGCTGAAATGGCAAGCTATATATATCTATCTACCACTTATCACTGGCGATGATCATCTCGAGAGAACAATCGTGTTTTCAGCACTACCAGCGAGACGGCGCAAAGAGCGCTCGTCGCCAGATCGTCACGACGCGGCGGCGTGCTGTCTTATACCCGTGACACACGGGCAAAAGTAAAGTACTTTGAAGTAAACCCCTTTTGTCGCCTAAGGGGACCATTTGCAGAAAGGAGTTGCGCTGATGACACACGGCACCGGACTACTGCTTTAGGCGGTTCCTCAGAAGAACGCTGCAGAAAAAATGGCGCTGTTTGTGGAAGCAGCAGGATTGGAAATATTGAAAAGAATCTGCGCTTGTACATCACATTCAGCGACGCCGGAGCATAAAACCGTTTTTTTTTTTATTGTCTGGTGGCTTATAATGTGCATACCTGTAATTTTCTTTCGCTTTTTTTTGCGTTTTTAGCAGCAACTTCAGTTCGTCTGGCAACTATGAACAGTCGGTGTTTTGCTGTTAATGTATTTTGTCGTACTTTTTACATGGCTGCGTCCAGCTGGGTCAGTGACGGCGTGCCGCGTTTCGTCGTGGTCCTGCGATGTATCAGCGCAGAGACAGAGATAAAGCAACAGTTGAGGTGGGCCTGACTCTTGTCGCCCACACAGCAACTGCCGCTGCCAACCCTAACATGATCGCGCTAGTGACGTAATGCAGGCGTTTGAGAGTACGGACAGACTACAGGCCTTCACTTTTTAACAAATCGCACTGCTGCTGAAAATGAAAAAATTTTCTCAGCGCAAAAAAAAAAAATACTGACAGGGCACCGCAGTGTTGCGACACGTTTTCTTCTATTGATAAATTATACACACTGTATGTGAGAGTACTCCCTTCCTGCCAGAAAAGTAGATGCGGGATCTGCTTTTGCGAAACTTTTTACAAAGAAATCTTAAACATGTAACCAAGGAAGTTAAACAGGCCGCATATTATGCCTATGTGAGACCAATACTAGAATACGCCTGTCCTGTGTGGGATCCGTTTAACAAAATACATATTCATGAATTAGAGCGCATTCAGTCGATGGCAGCAAGATTTGTTCTGGGAAAATATGGCCGAACTGAAAGCTCCCGTTGTATGAAAAGAGAACTTAATTGGCAATACTTACAAGATCGAAGACGTAATCTAAGATTAAAACTATTTTATTCGATATATAACAATAAAACGGGCATTAATGCTTCACATTATTTAAAAAAAGCGTATTATCAATCCTCCCGTCATGATCACAAATTTAAAGTACGGCCATACAACCCCAGAACGGATCTTTTTAAGCATTCTTTTTTTCCGCAATCCATTGTTGAATGGAACACGTTACCAGCCGATGTAGTTGGCCGCAAGACTGCGGATTCATTTTATGAGGCTCTGTGCCCCCCGCAATAATGCCTAAGTGGCGCTGCGGGATTTGTTTCAAATAAAAAAAAAAAAAAAAAAAAAGGATCTTGGCCGGAAAGGAGTTACTCCTTTGTCGTGTGTCACTGCGCCCGAACGCCTTTCCGAAAGATGTCCCCTTGTCTAAAGGACTTCAGGGTGCCCGTGTGTCAGTGGCATTACCTACCACGCGTACTTTGCACCGCGGAGAGGGGCGCGGGGTGGATGCTCACGCGTGCGCGCGCTTGTCTCGCTGTGGGGATAATCGCATGCCTTGGA